TTTGAGCGCCAGGGCCAGCGCCCCACGCTGCCCTGGACGCTCAAAAATGTGAACATGTCCTATTTCGATCGGGACTCGGTTATTTCGACCCCAAGACGCCCCCAACTCATATAAAAGCCAACCTAAACCTATTTTAAAAAGAGGAGGATGTTTTTGAGAGGAAAACACAAGCACAGAGCCGTCGTAGAGGTCGGAATTCATCAAGTTCCATCTTTCTCCCACCAAACTTAGTAATTTTTATATTTCTTTGTATGATTTGTTGTTTGGCTACCATGTCTATGTGGAGCTAAACTTCACGTTCTAGGGTTGTGGTTCTTTCATGACTATTGTTATTCGGATATTGATTTTGACTTCTTGATTTATCATATTAGTTTATTTATTCAATCTTGCACTTAATTATTTAATTGCTTGATCACCAATTGAATATTATCTACGAATCTAGAATTGAACTCGAAAGTGGGAATTCTATATTGCATATAGGATTGAGTAGGGCAAGTTCTTGAACTCGGGCATCGGGGAACGGATTCGTGGTTAGGATAGACATATACCTAATTGCCTTGCTTGGTTGATTTACAGGAATTATAAATGCGTTCTTGTTGATTCTAACTCCATAGACATATAGGCGTTAGGTTAGCTTGAATAAGCGAGTAAGAACTCGACAGATTCTTATAAGCAATATTAACCCTGTCAACCAATAAGCCAGATAAATTAGTCGGTCAATTCAATTGAAGAATACAATAGGATTGTTAGATAGCCCATAACCCTAGATCGTTTTCATTACATTGATATCATAAAAATCTGCTCTTTCTCTGTTCAAAGTTTATTATTTATATTTTTTTATTTAATTAGTTTAGAATCAAATATTTTTAGGTTTAATTCTTGTTTAGATAATTAGGATAGTCTAATTTAGTTAATAGTTAATCACAAGTTCTTGTGGGTTCGACATCCGACTTTTAGTCACTTTATTACTTGACGACCACGTATACTTGCGTGTGCGTTTGGCCGCAACATCTATATAAAGTCTTAAAAATATATATATAAATTATATATTTATATGTCGGTTTGGTTCAGATTTTTTTATTCAATACCAAATCAAATCAAACCAAACCTCATCGAATTTTTTAATCGGTTTGATTTGACTTTTTAATTTGACTTTTCGGTTCGATTTGTACACCCTATATATACTTTATTTATTTCAATCAGATGGAGTACTAGAAACTGCCTATAGCTTAACTAGCATATCTAAAAGCTGCTATTTCTGCCATTGATTATATTTTCGACCTCCATGTAGTAAGTCAACGTACATACTTCTTTTTAGAAGTATACATTTATGCACTTAAAATTAATTTACATGTCTTTGATTATATAAAAGACAATTAAGAAAAAATATCTCTTCATTCTCAACGGAAGGTTTTGGGTTTGATATATGGTGAGTATTGAATACCAGATGATTAAACAAAATATTTTTAAAAAAACTAGTCCAAAATTACTTGCTTTTAGAAAAAAAAAAGATTAGACATGATTACATGAACAATATCGATCACCTTGTTATAAGTTGGAATTTAAATCCAAGACCAGAATCTTTCTTGAAAATTAGGTTGGATGATGTTAACATCCATTCCTTCCTATCCAAGTCAAACAAGAAATATTCAAACTTCCAATCATGATGCTAAATTCATCCTCCACTCCCCTATAAAACCCAAAAAGTGTCATACTTAATTTTCCCACTTGTCTTTCATACATTATTTAATTCACAAAGAAACTTTTTGACTATCAATCAAAGACTTCTTTGGAACTTATATTCTAACATTCAAAAACTTCTGGAAGAGAAAAAAAGAAGTGAATGCATCTATTGGAACAACACTCATTAAAATAACATGAACGTTATTCATAGTCATGGATAAAATTTGTATTTATCCGTTTCATTTTATATATTTTAGTTTGAGTGAGCGCGAAATTTAAGAATATAAAAAAAAATATTCTCGAATCTTGTAATCTTAAATTTAAAGTGTATATAATAAATCAAAAATATCTTTTAGATCTAGCGATTTTTAAGAGCATGTCATATCATTCCTATAAAGGAGTGTCATGTTGAAATTAAAAAGTTAATGTATTAAATATAAAAATATAATATTCTTGTTTAAACAGATTAAAAAGGTAAGTAAGATACATATATAAATAAAAAATTTCTAGTGTGTGGGAGAAATAACGTCCAAACTTTACAGGTTTTAATTAGTAATTAAAAAACCTTAATTCGAAAATGAATAGTGGATTATTTTCTTAATTTATATTATAGTTTCAGCTAAATTACAAATTAGAGAACTCAATTTTGTTTTGGTTTTTGACCAGACAATATAATAGGAAAGTGACTACGAGTTATATACATGTCCATCTTCAATGAATTCTTAGTGTCATTCGTACTGTCTTTTCTATTGCAAAATTCACCACGTGAAAAATTGCATCAAATGCCATGCAACTAATGCTCGTGGAAATCACAAAGGGTTTTGAGTTTTTTAGACCAACTAATCTATATATGAATGGATTGGTCAATTAAAAAAATGATTTTTTCTTCTTTTCTTTTTTCCTATTTTAAGAAGAACAATAGATTAATATGTGATGTATCTGTTACTAAAAAAAACTGAAATTAACTTTAAACTTCGTCACTAATTTATTGCTAGATCGCTTGTAGCTAATATATTTTTTTGATAATATTTCGCTAATCGGTCGTTAAATAGGATTAGTGACAGATTTTTCTGTTTAGCTACAAAATTATCCGTCGCTAATTTATGCTACTTTAGTAGTGCTTAAAATGCACGTGTATATCACTACATTATGATTAATTAGCATATTAATTATACACTAAGGTTAAATAAATTGATCCAATGCAAACACAGATCGAGTAGGAGTAAGTTTTTTTCCCCAGTATAATTTATCAATTTATTCTTACTTTTATTACTTGTTTTGGCTATTCTCTATATAAATGAATTCAGCTTTAACTTTTGACATTAATGATCAATTCTTCTTTTTACTATGTGATATACATTTGGTATGAGAATTGACTGACTCTAGCAAAGAGTAATGTGAATACGAAGAATGGTTTTTTTTTTTTTAATCCAATTGATTGCTCACAAAAGAGCGGTTTGGTAGATGTTTAGTATATTTTAAGATATCTTATGAATAGTAATGTTGACCCTCATACACTTTAATTATCATCCATCAAAGCATTTAATTAAACATATTTTGACGACAGCACAATCATGGTTTTACCATCATTAATTAGGACATAGTTAATGGAAGAACTCACTCAAGAATCATTCTTACTATTAGATATGCTTCATAATGATATTTGACTAGCAAAATTAACTATCAATTTTACAATGATCATGATCTCTTAGCCACTGTGGTTTCTTCATCAAACTATTGTCCATGCTCGCACAATTGAAGTTACCTTCTTACGAGAGATTGCGGAGCCATGATTTAAAGTTATTGGGTTCGGATTTCTAGTATTTTTATGTTACTGCGGTCTAAAGTGCAGTAATAATTTATACTTATTCAATGGATTTCTTAAGACAAATATATGATTTGCTAAAGTTATTGATTTCGGCCGAACCCATTATCGAAGCTCTAGCTCCGCCCCTGATGGAACTTAGTGCCATCAAGTAGGGAAAAAAAAGTTTAATTAGCTTCTATACAGTGCAAAAGAACTTTACAAGGTCATCTATGATATCTCGTAACTACTAGTAACTGGCCATAAAAAGGTCGACTTAGTAGCCTAATAAACAAGTCGGCCAGGTTATCTACTACAATAAATTAAGATGCATCAATAGTATAATTTCTTTTACATTGTGAGCGTAAATACATTAAATCTAAAAAAAAAAGTAAAAAGAGATTGATAAAAAAAAAAAAAAACCTTCCTCACGAAACTACATAGAATAAAAACAACAAAATAATACATTTGCCCCTCTCTAAAGCTTAAAATTGAAAATAAAAGTTTATCCCAATTTTTTAGTTTAACCAAATACTATATATATATATATATATATATATATATGAACCAAATATCTATCAATAGACATTCACTAAATAATTTTTGTTATTATTTAATTCACGTATCATAATCCCATCATTATAATTCAAAAAATAATTTGTTTTCCAACCAAAAAACCCTCAAAATTTAAGTATGAATGCAATTGTTTTAGACTACTCCATGCATTATCTTAACGTTTTAGGATGAATATTCAGGTTATTTTCAATTATACATAGACTAAGTGAGCGTTTGGACATAAGAATTGTAAAATTCCAAAATAGAAGGAAAACTTTTTCAAGTAAAAATGATATTTGAAATTTAGAGTTGTGTTTGGACATGAATATAATTTTGGGTTGTTTTTAAAGTTTTGTGAGTGATTCAAGTAAAAATTCAAAATTTTATAAACAAACGCTGATTTCGAAAAAAAAGTAAAAATTTTTTGGTAAAAAGGCAAAAAAATTCTTATGTCCAAACGGGCTATAAAACTCTTCACAAAAACTATGTGCATGACTGTGTCAAATCAAAACATCTCTTCATTCGATTAATACATTTTCTGAAATGATTATTTAATCATGTTTCAGAAAATTACAGAAATGGGCAAAAGAAGAAAAACAATGGAAAATGAAAAAAGTGGACCAAATGAAGACCAAATTCTGAGGTCATGAGTCTATTATTAATATTTTTTAATATATGGTTTCATGAGCTGGCCGCCATTCCCTTAAATTCGTTTGACCAACATATGACCAGTTGACCACACCTGCACTAATTATTTCTTTGGTTAATTTCTGCAGCCCCTATTACTTACTACTCTAATAAGAAGACCACACTCCATAGTCTCTATCAAATTTCAACCCCATCAACTTTTATTTTAACATATATTCTAATAAACCCCTCGTGTGCACTTCTCAGTCTTTATATATAGAACGTATCCTTTCCTAAGTTCAAAAAACCAAAAACACACATTGATCAAATATCACTTCAAAAATTCAAAACACACACTATAAAAAAAAAATTTGAAATAGCTATCGCTAATCCGTAGCTAAGCAAGATTAGCGACGAACTTTTCTGTTTAGCTACAGAATTTTGTCTGTTGCTAATTTCTATTTTTTTAGTAGGGACAGTTTAAAAAATGGATTATTCACGGTATAATCATCTTGGTTTCAATGAGAATGACACTGAAGACATGCTTCTTCTCAATGTCCTATCAGAAGCTGGTGAAAATTCATCTAATAATCTTCATTTCAACAAACAAGAAACACACTTCAAACACAACGAAGGAGCCAATTATAGAGGTGTAAGAAGGAGGCCATGGGGGAAATACGCGGCGGAAATAAGAGATTCAACTAGAAATAGCGTTAGGGTTTGGCTTGGAACATTTGATACTGCAGAAGAAGCAGCTTTGGCTTATGATCAAGCCGCGTTCGCGTTGCATGGGACAATGGCAGTGTTAAATTTTCCAGTGGATATTGTTTATCAATCGTTAATGGAGATGGAGTGTGGATTTGAAGAAGGATGTTCACCTGTTTTGGTACTGAAGAAAATGCATTCTATGAAAAAAGGTAAGAGTAATAATATTCATAGAAAGAAGAAGGAAAAAGAGATGAGCTTTGAAAATGTGTTGGTTTTGGAGGATTTAGGAGCTGATTATTTGGAGGAAATTTTGAGGTTGTCTGAAGGCTGTTGTGATCCTTCAATGTCTTGCTAGCAAAATTATTAACATGTGCATGTAAAGGTATCCAAGTTAGGGATAACAAAGAGGAGGCAGATGCGCAATTAGGATTTTGAGTTTATGAATTCTTAATTCTAGAAAAGACAGCTTACTCAATTCTGAATATATTAATTATATATAGAGTGAATTTTTAACAAAAATATAGCATATGAGCCAAAGTTACTGAGTTTTACCGAACAATAGGCAGAACTATACCGAGACGTTCTCCTGTAACGTTTTAACCTATCGTGCCCTGTCCCGCTTAAGATGTTTTCTTTACTTACAAATTAATGATCTCTTCTTATTCCTTTTTCCTCATTTCTTCTCGTTCATATTCATTTACATATATGTATTCTTTTTGATAATATTGGTATCAAATCCATTAATCTCTTCTTGTACTGTAGAGATCTAAGGCAATGAAAGACCTGTTTACTGGATTTTAATTTTATTCTTGAGTTTATGTTAGTGTTTTTATGTTCTCGGAAGGTAAGAGAGGACTTTAATTTGTTGTGTGAAGTATTGAGACTTTGCTCTTTTTGGTCCTCCTCATTTTTAGTCAACCAATGTTTAGGGTCGGTTAGTTGTACTAGAGTTAAATGGTTTAAATTTCTTATTTAGTTTTTTGCCAATATAGTTTGCGTCTTAATGGTAAAATTTTATCCACATATGTATTTACATCAAATCAATTGTATAGGAAAAAATACGACATGACACGTGACCACTTAAAGGAAGGACACGTGGAACACAAGATGGAGATGGACACCGAACATAGCTATTCCGCTTGTCACCGGAAGGGATAACGATCATAAAAGAAGTATTAATGTTTTGCGCCCGGTAACATTTAATACAGAATATTTTACAGCATTAAGGATGATGGCTCGTTACAAGGAATTTGGCATTTATGTCTAACGTTACATCTTCATCAATGACCCTCATAATTGACATTAAAGAAGGGCATGATCCTAGGACTTACTTCTCTAGACATAACTATAAATACATAGCTTTGTTATCATTATAGGGGAAAGGAATTTTCTAGCTAACTTACACTACATTCTATACAACATTTTAATATAATGTTATTCTCTCGCTTTCGATCTCATCATTGTTGTGCTCGAAAACCCTGTTCCGGGACTCATCAGCTCTGTCATTTCTTCTACATTCTAAGGCTAAGTATTTTGTATTTCATCAGTTCTTTCATTATCCTTTGGATCAAATTAATTCATTTGTCTAGAAATCACGAACAAATTTAACTGTACCATTTTACGGGTAAATAATTTAGCGCCTACCGTGGGTCCTAGACAGTCGTGCGATTAAATTGATCCTTGTCTTTTTTACTAACGCATTTTGATTACTTTGTCCTAGCAAAAAATCACCCAAAATGGCGGATAACACTGTTAACGGCACGCGCAACCCTGAAATTCAAGGGGAACAACCACATTTCGAGGATTCAATCAATGACACCCGCAATGAGGGGAATGACGCCACACCGGTACATGACAAGCGGTACCCTCGACAGGTTCGGGAGGTAACTCCTGACGATGCTGATGAGGAGCATGTAGCTGATGCAGTAAGAGTCCTACAAGAGCAACAGACAATCATTCTAGGCCATCTCACGTGGCAAGATCAGGTTATGATAGAACTGAAGCAGGCGCTATCGGGTGCCTCGAATAATGCAAACAGGCGAGATCCAGTTCCTCCTGATGTTCCCGCAAACCAAACGATGCAAAGAGTTGATAATAACACTCCTAGGGGCGAAGTTGGCTCCGACAGGGCTCGGGGGGAGTAGATCCGGCCTCAACAAGGAGAACGATCCATTCAAGAATGAACTTTTGTGGTTCATGAAGGAAGTAAACGGCTGCATGGATCAAATCCCAAGTGCACCGCCAGTACTAAAAGACCCAAACTCGAAGAAGTATATTCAATTACCGTATAAATCGAGCGCAACCTCGGAATTAATCCTGAAGCGATACAAAATTCCCGAAGTACCAAAGTATGACAGAACTTCAGATCCACAGGAGCACATTACCACCTACACAATAGTGGTGAAAGGAAATGATTTGGCTCCTCACGAAATTGAGTACGTGTTTCTGAAAATATTTGGTGAGACTCTCACGAGGGGAGCTTTAACGTGGTATTCATTATTGCCCAAGCATTCCATAGATCCCTTTGAGATGCTCGCAAACTCTTTCATCACAGCTCATGCCGGTGCCAGAAAGGTACAAGCCTGAAAGGCCGATATATTCAGGATCACACAGAGAGAATCTGAATTATTACGAGATTTCGTTACCCGGTTCCTGAAGTAAAGGATGTTACTACCGGCAGTCCAGGATGAATGGGTAGCTGAAGCATTCACCAAAGGTTTAAATCTGAGAAGTTCGAAAGCTTCCCGGAAGTTGAAGGAAATTCTGCTCTAGTTTCAAGCGACGACTTTGGCAGATGTCCATAACCGGAACTAGTCAAAAATAAGGATCGAAGATGATCAGGCTGGCTTTCCATTGTCGACCAAAGGACGGAAGAAGAATAGAGAAAAAATGAAAGATGATGTTGACATGGATAGACGGACTTCGAGGGACCGATTTTTGCCAAACGAGCGGAAAGAAGGTCGTGGTAGGAGCTTCCGAACAAAAGACAAGCTCACCATTAATAGAAGGACCGATCGTGGCCGGAACAACAGATCGTTACAGGATAGAGAAATTTTTGGGGTCGCGAGATTCTTCTTTTCCAAAGTTGTCGGACTATAACTTCAACGTCAGTGTGGTGAAGTTGGTATCAGCCATGAGAAATATCAAAGAGGCATGATTCCCAATACCTATGAAATCTGATCCCAGCCAGAGGGATCCTAATTTATGGTGTGAATACCATGGCACTAACTGTCAAGACCCAAAATCCATTAAAGGTCGTGATGGCGCCGGACACCGCCGTTAGGCAAGCCAAAAATAAATACTTGATTTGGTTCTCATTTTAATATATTTGAAATCATATTTTCCTTCGATTAAATAGTAAAAGATGTAATTCACAGTGTAAATAATAATATTATTAACAATTTCAATACAGAACAACCCATAATCACCCAAAAACCATTAACAATTTCAATACAGAACAACCCATAATCACCCAAAAACCCGGTGTCACAAGTGCATGAGCATCAACTACGAATGTAAAATAAAATACAGCATCTGTCCGGAATACAAATTTGGACAGGAGAAATATCAATACTCTGAAGGAGACTCTACCGGCTACGGGTCATAATATGGAATGCAATTCACGTAAGTCCCCGCATGCATACACGCCTCTGCTCTCACAAGGCTACTAGTCACATAGGTACCTGCACAAAAATGTGCAGCAAGTGTAGTATGAGTACGTAATCAACGTGTACCCAGTAAGTATCTAGCCTAACCCCGGAGGAGTAGTGACGAGGGGTTGACATCGACACTCACTAGTGGTCTAATAACATCAGGTACAGTAAAGAGGTAAGTAAATATGAGGCAGGGTAAATAAATGAGGTAAACAAGTAACAAATCAAGTGGTACAAATCCCCCCTTTTTACGAGGAACTCAAGCCCTCTATTAAAAATTCCCTCCTTAACCGGAGCATATATATAGATATAGTGGATCTCATCGGATAGATCGTCATAACTCAAATCGGGAAAACTCACAGATATACTCGCTTCTTGCCAAATATTACGCACGAATCCATGAGGATATGATATAGGAAATGTCGAGGCGTACGACCCGATCCAACACAAATATTTAAACTGTGCACTGCCGAGGGTCGAACGGCACGAACCATAGATGCATCTATTAAATTGGCGAGGCGAACGGCCCGCTCCCATGAGAGTGGTACCTAAATCCTACCGAGGCGATCAGCCCGATCCCATAAGAGTAAAATACATAATCCTGCCGAGGCGAACGGCCCGATCCCATTAGAATAAGAAGTTTTGACGGGTCCTTAACCCCACTCACGAATAAACGTGTGAGTTGTAATTTCTTTAACAAAAACCTTTCAATGAAGTATATATATCACGGAAATATGCCGTAAGAGGAGTAAAGTTATTCAATGACTAATCATGAACTCGTGAAGTCTCTACAATAGCAAGTCTAGTCTCAAGTAGAAATGTAAAACAGAGGAATTTAATAGTCGAGAGAATGCTCAAATAGTGCAACTACATCATGATGTGAACCTGAGCCTACCCGGACAGTAACATAAATGTAGCTACGTACGGGCTCTCGTCACCTCGCGCGTACGTAACCCCTACAACAATTAGCACACATCAACATACAACACCTAGGGGTATTTTTCCCCTCACAGAGTTAGATAGGAGACTTACCTCACTCCGAAATTCCATAACCGGCTCCAAAGCCTCTCTAACACCTCAAACCGATGCCCGTCGCTCCAAAACTAGTCCAATAAGATGCAACCAAATCAAAATATACTCTAATACTCATAATTAATCAATTTATAACAATTTTCAACTCTGCTCAAAAAATCGATAAAGCAACCCTCAAGCCCACGTGCCTAGATTTCGAAATTTTTTGAAGATAACCAGTACCCATAACCTCACGAACACAAATATATGATTTATTTCCAATTCCATGCCCAAAATTCCTGGTCAAAATCCAAAAATATAAATTTCTAGGTTTCTTTCAAAATCCCATAATTTCTATCAATTTTCATGCTTGAATTCATGTAAAAACCATGTCTTTAACTCACATTGTGAAGAAATCACTTACCCCATTATAGTTGATGAAGATGTCACTCCAAGAGTGCTCCAAAATCGACTCCCATGGACGAAATGAAGTGAAAATGAGCCAAACCCCCGATTTAAAGAGAGCACACTGCCTAGCGTTCATCGTACCTGCGGTGATCTGACCGCTTATGCGGCTCCGCAGGTGCGGTCCAAATTCCGCTCCTGCGGTCCTCACTGCCCAGCCAAGAACTCGCACCTGCGGAAGTCCTTTCGCTTCTGCAGCATCACAGGTGTGACATGCTCTTGCGCATCTGCGCATATTTACGCACCAGCGGCAGATGCCTCGCTCCTGCGCACTCGCAGGTGCGCTTCTCCATTCCTGTTCTGCGGCTCCCCTAGCTCCAGTCCATTCTCGCTTCTGCAAGCAATTCTCCGTACCCGCGATCTCGTACCTGTAGTCAAAGTTACGCAGATGCGATTACACCAGAAGCATTAAGCTTCAAAAATTCTTAAGTCTAAAAATCGATCCGTTAACCTTCCGAAATCAACCCGAGGCCCTCG